GCAAATACTTTCGATTTGGAAAATCGCCAAGTAAATTCTTGGGTGCTAAGACCCTTTTCAGTGTATAAAGGAATATTTCCAGCCAATAAATTGAAGCCAACCCACAATTTTTTGGAGTTCACGAAAACACACCAAGAATATATATCCAAAACACGCAACCAGTAATGTTTTGGTCAAAGATTGGTTGCGAGTATCTATTGTTATCAGAACTAGCATTCTGATCCCATTCGCCCCAGCTTATAGGTGTGTAAGTGGATTAGCAACTTTGTTGTCAATGACGACAAAGAAAGGAACCGAAGGGACTTGAAGCAAGACTTACAAAGTATATTAGCCGAAACGGTATCCAATATACCAGAAATTGATAGGACCAAGCCACACCAACTGTCTCTCATGATTTAGTAATCCATTACTCACAAATTGCTGTTTTCTTAATTTGCATGATAAAAAGTAAGTAAAAATAGGCATCCTTTTTTAATTTAAAGAGAAAATATGTTTTTGGGGGTGGGCGCTTATTTATAGTGAACCCGCATTTTGGGTAACAGCTTCCAAAAGATTGAGAACAACTGAGCTACACGCTATTGTCATCAAGGTGCACAGTAGAGTTGCTTGCTCGAAGTAGCTGACAAAGTTTGAAACTGTGGTTTCACAACCACGAATGCTTAGGGCCGAACACTCGACGTTGTACACTAAGTCGCAGTAGTGGAGTATCTCTTTAAGTGCAAGTGAAACACCTCTGAACCCCCCCTATTAGTACACACAAATGAACCATATCTTGTGGTGAGTGGTAAAAATGCATTTGCACCCCTTAAGTTTGGCATCACAACGTTTAAAGAGAGGCAAAGAAACTTGGTTGTCTCTTTAGCCTCTGGTATCTGACGGATACAGCTTTCATAGAAATACCATGCGTCCAATTGCGAATGAAGGCGCATCACTTGCTTTCATCGTCATGCAGTTTTAGTCTAGCAGATGATTTTGGCATCCGTAAGCAGTTTCCATTAGTCTGCAGCGAAAGCAGTTTCTAGGGACGATACAAAGTCTTGAGAGATGCAGGATCATCTTGAAGACGCTGTAGTGCCTTGCGCGAATCATGCTTGTTAAACCAGTAGATGCTGCTGATTTTATCCACATATTAAAATGCAGGTTTTTGCTTTATTTCGTCTAATATATCCGTAGTGTAGACAAGGAGGAACTTGGACTCAGTATAAAACCCTGGCTTATTACACTCGTACTGACACTAAGTTTTGGGAGGTTGTTGTTTTACATTTTCCGTATGTGTCTTCGGCTAGACAAATATTACTTTACGCACACAAACATGAACTTTTAATACCAACAGATCAGATTTCAATGGTTCAATGGTGTATGATGGGATAAAAAGCATAACTTTACTAGACCTACAGTATGGATTTGCAAAAGAAAGTTGAAATCAAAATGTTTCAGCGTGGAACGTAAAGTATCAGTGGTTAAATCGTTGCACTTTAACAAAGTGTTGTGTATCGTTTATCACTAAGATGAAAATCTAAGAGTCTTTCGATTGTCGTCATGTCTGGTGCGGTCACCACATAGTTTGGTAATGCATTCCAGTGAGAACAGATTCCAAGTGAGAAAAAATACTTTCTACAATTCAAACGAGAGTGTTGCGTCATTAGTTTCAGGTGGTTGCCTCGGTTTTGTTTGTATGGGGCTAGAGTCAACAGTGACGTACATGGATGCTCGCTTTCGGTTAATATCCGGTATGTGAGAGTAAGATCTCCGCGAAGCCGTCGGTATGCTAATGAGAACACACCGAGTACACGAAGACGCATTTCGTAACTTATACCGGATAGTCCACGCGTTGCCTTTGTGGCTCTTCTTTGGGGCTGTTCCAAGAGGCGGATGTCTCGTTTCAAACATGGACACCAGGCGTGAATTGCATATTCAACATGAGGACGAATGTAGGAGTTAATCAACAATGGTACTAGCTGTCTCTCAAAAGTGCCGAGAGCTCGCCTCAAAAGTCTCAAGTTCAAGTTCGCTACACTTGCTGCTTTCGAACACTGGAGCGAATTTCCAAGACTCTCTTGCACGAGTATACCTAAGTCGCGTTCACTAGTCACGTGTCGCATAACGTGTTGCCCCAAAAGATATATGTTGACGAAGCTGTTGTGCACCGTCAGCAGGTAGCACTTTGCAGGGTTCAGTGGGAGCTGGTTCTTTTTTGCCCATTAGTTAATCCGGGTCAGATCTTCCTGGAGGTACACACGGTCGGATGCTGAGCGAATCGCTCTCCATATTTTAGCATCGTCTGCAAATATTTGCATTGGAGATAGAATGTCTGCTGGAAGGTCATTAATGTAGACTAAAAACAGTAGCGGGCCGAGGACGGATCCTTGTGGTACACCATTGGAGACGTAAAGGTTTTCAGAATAGGTGTCGGCTACTCTTACCTTGACTGCTCTGTTGTGTAAGTAGTCTTCCAACCAGGTGAGCAGGGAACCGTTGATACCGTAGGCAGCAAGCTTTTGGAGGAGAAAGAAGTGATTGACCCTGTCGGTCATTAATATTGTGTACGGCACTCAAGTGAAGGTTTTACTTAAGTCCAGAAAATCTAAGACAACTGCTTTGCCAAATCCAACGTTTGTTGTCACATTGCTGAGTAAGTCTGTTTGACATGTCACAAAGAGACCGTGGCCATAAAAACCCATCCTGCGGCCTACCAACTAGCATTCACAATATGAGGTGTACATCAGTGCTTTCTTCTACCTTCCAATCCATCATCTTGGCAATAATAAGCGTGTGATTTATACGGTGATGACCTTCAATATGATACGGACCACGATTTTTGTGGTCTGGCATTATATCGCTGCCTTCCACTTCATGGGATAATATCCCAAATGAAGGATGAGTGTAAACATGCTGACCAACAAAATTTGACCATGTGGGCTCTTTATTTTCCTTACATCGTGAGCAATTTGTTGTAGCCATGAAAGCAACAGGATTTTAGAGGTGGATTATTACCTGTAATCCCCTTTTCATCAAAGCCTGCATCATGGAGACGGGAATTCATGGGTGGCGAAAAGTATAAATGCTCGTTCGATACCCTGGTAGCGAACGACTTTTTAAAATATGCACAGAAGGCTCCTCATATGTCAAAACGGCTATTTACGTATGTACTACCAAGCATTATTTTGCGTCGGACGAAGAGCTTTGCACGAGGACTTTTTAATTGATTAAGCTTCCAGGCTTACTAAGGTTTACTAAGACACTACGATCCCCAAGTAAGGTTTGATGCAGACTTTGGGGTCGGATCTCCTCTTTACTAGAGCATTTTGGCCTTAGAATCGAGAATTTTGTGGTGTGCTTAAATTTTATCCTATTTTTGTGTAGTTCACTTGGCGTTTTCTTCATAACCCGGTTGTATTCTCCATTATTATATTCCTACATCTGCAGGAAAACGGCTAGCTCGACTTATTGTTATAAATTTGCGCCAAACCCCTCCTGACCACTTTTTGTATGCATGTGGATAGTGATAATCTGTCCCATTTTCACAGATCGTAGCTCAACAGCAAATGTTCCAGTTGCTTGAACTGAAAGAGCTAAGACTCGTGCTTTCTTCCGAAAATTTTGACTCACATTTAAAGCAACGACTGATGACTTAACGATCAGTTCCTGAAAATTAGTCCTGTATATTTATTACAATCGAAGGAATCTAACGTATTTCCCCCAGTGGGACACAGCACTTGCTGTTGTCATGTATCGAAGTGTATACAAAGAATACTGTCCTAAACCTAGGTTGTGTAGTATCATGCATAACATGTATCCTGGGTATGTTGAAGTTTCCAGGGACGAGTCTGCAATCAGGGGGTATCGCAGCAGACATTTCGAATGTTGGCATCAGGGATGAAGTATCCCTTGGAGTGTGGATTACTGGTTTATTGATGAGGAATGGGGATCGTGATTCAAATGGACTCCTCTGAGTAACAGCATGGTGAAATCGAAGGCAGTTGTTACAAGTGCTTCCCTCGTGTACAACCGCTTCTAAGACAGCAGTTGGTTCCTTTTAACGGTACTGTATTCGAAACGTGACATATCCTCATCTGTGGCATCATCAGTCACCTTGATTTCATCATAAAAGGGATGTCAGGATTCACATCCAACATGGTAGAGCGAAAATTAGTCAAGTTTTATGAGGGCTTACATGCATGGATCAAACCGACCGATACTACTGCAGGTTTGTGATGATGCTGAACACATCACTGGTAGAGTAGATACTGCTTGCCTTAATAAAGTGACTCTGAAAAGCAAAATGTCATTGAAAGCAACCGAAACTGTACTTGAATGAAATGAAAACGAGTCAAATGCACACTGCATCAACATTCGCGTGTATTTTTGTTTTTGAAATGTAGCCTGGCACTGGTGGGATGTGACCATTTCGCTGTTCACCACTTAGACTGTGCAGTGCATCACATCTCACTATTGGAACGTCCACCAAGGAATTGGTACTAAGCACGGTGTCGAAGTTTCTGGTGAACAGGGTTGACTTGATTGCAACAAAAGTACACAATGGGCACTAGAGTTTTCACGACCATGTTTGTTACTTCTTGATTTGTGATTCGGGTTGCATATGTGAAGAGCATTTTGTTTTGGAGCGCATAATTTGCGTCAGAAACTGACGCGACCGAAGGCACAATGAACAATGGGATTATTGCTCCATGCGAAAGTCAAGAAGAGCTGATTGCTGTTAAATATATTTGATCAGCGTATCACGACCGTCGCACTCAGAGTCATACGTTTTCAACCAATAACTACCGGATGCCGTCGGGCCTCCTTAGACATTGCAAACAAGCCTATGCGAGGGTATGAACTACCGACAAATACCGCAGACCATTCCCAGAGATATTACAATAGTACCACAACGCAAACCTATACATTTATTTTATACCAACTATTCCTTATCAAGCTACCAGCTTCTTAACGTACGTGTGATCACTGCTATGGTAATATTTTACATTTGTCATCAACAGGAGTGAACACTGGAAAATGCATCCCTTCGAACACGGAGGGTTCGAGAACCTGTGAAATCTATTCTTGGTGCCCACTGGAGAATGACACATTACCGCTGGGTGATTATCACTTCCTTTTCCCCATGGTTGAAAACTACACGTTGCTGATCAAGAATGACGTCACGTTTGATAGGTTTGACGTGCGGCGGTAAGCCCTTTTGTTTGACACTGCTTGAAATCCCATCACGTTGGTGTGATTTCGTGTGTGTGTGTGTGTGTGAACGAATTGCCCCTGGGAGTTACTCATTTTGATCAGGAGCGTGGCTTGCACTTTGTTTCCGCACTCCAAGTGTAAGGCGTAAAATTATAGGCGATCTCTGTCAGAAAATAGACCACACAACCATGATGATTTGCCACTTTTGCGGCTGTTGGGCTCCTGCTTTTTGAGCAAGACTGGAATGAATTAATGGAGTAAATAACATGCAATTCACTTTCTACAAATTTTTGCTATGTGCTGAGCTCCAGTGGGGATAGTCGCATACCTGAAGATGTCCAGACAGACAACAAACCTAATTGCTTCGAGACGAGTGGCTTTATCGAAAACGGAATATTTCCTACCCGATACTATGATGCATCGGAACTGATGTCAAACGATCGGGACTAATTTCCAATGTATCATCGATCAGTAATTAATGTAGCCGAGCTCAAGTGCAGATGTTGCCTCTAGGCTGCGATGTGCCTCTGACCTATAAAGCTAGATTTCGGCAGCAGATCTCCTTGCTCAAATTTTGGACACTGGCGGCTCACATTCGTCCAGTTGATCAAACCTTTTGACACAACGTAAACAACTAAGAGCGTGGAACGTAACACCGTTCCACACAGAGTCCGTCTTGAGGGTTAACTAATACTTCTGGTGAACATTCATTCTCTATAAATGTGCCTTCTTGAAGTAACTGAAAACAGCGCATACCAACTTGTTTCTCACCTTATAAATCGAAGGAAATTCCGATAGAAATACATGGTTTAAATCGAACTGTGAATTGCTGGCACTGTCACAACTAGTTAGGCACTGCCTTAACACTGATGTTTATCTTATTCTTGAAACTCGCATGTGAGACGGTAGCGGCATTCACGTGCTATAATCCAGAATTCACCGGTTATGGACATCTCTGGCAAACGGACTTGGCGGGTGAAAGTGATCTTTGTGACAGGTTTGTTGCGCCACATCTGCAAAAAGTTGTTCCACTGAAGTGGATTTCAGAGACTAACTATATATGTGCTTTTTATTCGCAAAGTCCGCTTAATATCAATAAATTGCCCCATGCATCTATCTTGTCTCCATGTGAGCCTCCATCGAAGTTTCACCCTAGCCTATGAAATATGAGTCTTAGTTAAAATGCTCTGTTTGCTATCCAATTGGAAAAGCTGTTGTGTATCTGTGCTTTGTTAGCTATATGAACACCAAAATGGTTCAGCCTTCAAGGTCGAAGTGTCATCCGGGAAGTTGGCTGGAACACGGGCTTTTATCGTAGATACTACTGGTCACTATAAGTACCTATGCCCTTTTAAAACTCGCAGCATCAAAGTCTGTGTTAACCAACGCGCTATTCCAACGCAAAACCATACGTGACTGGCTACAAAAGCGCTGACTACAGGCACAGACTGAGCACAATGCTATGTAATTACGGATTTTGAGTAGGTGGAAAGTTTGCTACCATCCCGATCATGTGCATGTGAAGAGGTATAGAATCTTCTCTAAATCGCAGCAAGGTAACCAGCTGTTAGTTCACATGATTGTTAAGCAACTACAGGACCCGCGAACCAGAAATAGCAACCTTCAGTCCATCGTCTTCAACCATTCAGAGGCGTGCGCGAAACTGAGGTTACGGAAAAGGCACTCTTCAAATCCTCAAGTGGGAACCACCTCAATATCGCATGAATTCTTGTGGCTTTATCAAACGCTGTTAAATGCACAAAGATAATGTCATTGTGAGCACAATCGTGAGACTACTTCGATTGATAAGCGCTATCAAATGGGAAAGTCTTGGTTTTATGAAACCAGGTTTGGCGGTAAAGACGAAATGTCGCTGGAGTTTGATGCATCTAGGTGTAAGCTGGTCCATGTACGTTACCAGCAGAACAGAATTTTTGGGCTTGGCGACCTCCTCATTACAAGATGCTTCCGAAGATCCTGATCTCTACGTGCTAGTTCAGGGTTGCCTCGGCTGTTCTAAGGACCCGGACGTGTCAAAGGCCGGGGGCCAACGCGTTAGCTTTATTCGTCCAGTTACCTGCATATGCCTAACACGTAGGTTCTGCCCAATTTACAACACTGTATTCAGCCTTGCTAGCTCAGCTAGAAATAAGAAGTAACCGTCTTCGAAACTCGAACATCGAACATCGACCACCTTTCATCTTCCATAAATACTTGAGCCGAGGACCCTAAGATTTTACAGTGTTCATATTCAGAGCTTAATGTGGCTCTCTAATAACCTAACGGATCGTAGGGAATCCCGATCACATTTGCTGCCATCTTTCACAACGCATATACAATACAAAACTTATGGACCGCTACCACGAATTGAGCACGCGATCGAACAGGCTGGGATGTCGCTGGAATCATTTCTATCTTAGCGACTTTCGAAGAAATAACGCTTTTCCTAATTTCTTGATTTCTGCCCGCACATTATCTGTATAAATAAAAAGCCTCGGTACCTTCCTCGTCGGTCATTGTTCCGAAATAATAGCGTATGTACACCGCGAGACGACGTAAGGTGATAAATGGGACACTCGCCAGCATATCACAAGGCAAGTGAAGTAGCTTAATTTACGTATGCCTTCAAGCGAACGCTATGTTACATCTACCAAAGCGGCTTTCTTTTGTCACCAAGTGTTGCTTTTTCCTTTTGTGGTTCCAATCCCGGCCTTCCTACTGCATTTGTAGGCACTTTATATTTAGCCGTGATAAACAGTTGTTTAATTGTACTCCTCCTGGCGTGTTGTGTGAGGCCAATGAGGGGTCATGCCAATGGAATGGCTGCCGCAATTAATGATGACAAGGACTGGGGTGATAGGATTCAAGACCTTATGTAGAAGCTAGAGAAATTAAGACTGCTGCAATTCGCGGGACTTTTGAATCGGCTGCTCGATAAATGTTCTTGCCACCGGCACCGCAAGGTGTAGGTAGACGAGCCGAATGTTCAACCAAGATGACTTCTGACTTTGAGCTCACAATGTATCAGATGGTACAACCTTAACATTAATGCAGGGAGTTTCAAGGTTTGAAGTCAAAACTAGTGGTTCCGCTGCTGCAGCGTCCGAGTTTGGATGGAGTATGGCGGCTCCATTACATTTCGTTCGAGGGATAGGGCATTTGCAACTCCTAGTTCGTGCAAAATGTTCCCAAAAGTAAGTTCCACTTTTATTTTCCAGCCCTGTCAATATCTTAGTAAAAGCTTCTTATCCCAGCGTTATCACATTATTTCTTACTGATGATTTGTATCGAATTGTCCTAGCCTGCATCACACCAAACTGGATACGAAATCGTATCCAGCACATTCCATTGCATCCGTATTGCGTACACCTACAAGCCTGCACGATTCGTTTACCGAATGGAGGTCGCCTTAACCCGATGCAGCTCTAATTGCTGTTTAAACATGGCCTTCACCCAAATGCGTGTGGGTTGATGCACGACAATTAGACAACATCGTATATCTTTCACTCAGAAAATACTCTACTCCTCGGGCTGAATGTGGGGCTTATGGGAGTCTCCTTGTCCCCTTTTACACTTTCTTTCTACTCTAAATCATGTGCTTTACAATATACGTGTAGCTGGCACGGATATTACGGCTGTGTTACCACGGATGCACTGCTCAACTGCTGAAGTATTTCTAATAATTCAAGGAGGATAAACCGAGCTTACTGCGTTGTCCTCATCATAGTTCCTTGTCGTTAGAGCTGCTAAGTGTAATGGCGCATGATGACCATTTTATTTTGCACCTAAGTTGCAAGTTCTTGTGAGATTACCCTTTTCTTTGGTTGTAAGCTGAAATTCATGTTAACCAGCTTGCTTGTGATATATCATAGTCGTAGTCTTTTGGTCTTTAAAGTCAACACCGCGTTTCGTCACCGGTTGCGTTATTTTAACATTTTCTTATAAAACGAATAAATAACCTACTTACTCAGATGCACAGAGCATGTTTTGATCATGAACTGACTTGATCTGGCCTTCATTCGGATAATATCGACCAGGAACCTTGACCGAGTAATCAGACAGGGACTACCGTCATTCGGCCGGACATCCATCGTCTGTTGGGTCGGCTGTGCCAGTCATCCACTATATCCCAGTGACCGTTCATGAAAATGAGTGCCCAGAACAGAATGACGTGTTTTTAGTCTATCGAGTTTCTTTCCGTTTCATAAGGCGAGGCAATCCACCAATGAATTATGTGTCTGCTCAGGTCAACATTGTAACCTAAGGAGTGAGTTCCTTCCTGCTGGCTTTCTCCATAGGCATTTTTGTTCCTTAAAAGAGCAGTAATACACTAAAACTTGTTGACACGACAACTTTAGGACCTTTATCTCGTAGCCCTTTCTTGTTATCCCGCTTTTGTGTCTCACGGGCCTAGAAGAGAGAAGAATAGAGGACATTTCCGTCAGATTCTTGCACAGTGAGAGACATACCGCTGGTAGCCTCATTGTATACCAACTACTGGAGCAGTTGCAACTGAACACGCAGTTGTGATTGCCATGGACATGTGGACTGCCTGTCTTATAGGAAAACCATTGTTTTTAGAGATAACTTCTAATGAAGGAGAACACAAGGTTATTGAACCCTATTCTGAGATTTCTGCACTGTGTTTCTCTTATCTTTATGGCGTTCACGAATATTTCCTCAGCAGCTTCCTCACACGATGTGAGACTTGCCATGAGATCCTGAAGTCACTCATCACTAAATGTTAGTTGTGACCGGCCACAAACTTGCATCCCACGAGCTGGTTCGTACTTGGTTGCATTGCTAATGTGTAGTGGAGATTTCTTATGCTTAGAGATAGTTCATCACGGTCCACTCTCAGTCAGCAGGCTTTGGATAGTCTGGAAAAGCACCAGACATCTGCGATTCGACATTCTGGGTCTCATCAATGGTGCGGCTTTCAGCGGTCCTCTGCGGGGTTCTGGCCACATGACTTCCGGATGCCAGCAGCTAGT